TTAAAAAGATGGCATATGTATCATGTTGAATGAATGGTATGGCTATATGAGACAAGTATATAGTACCATGAGCATACTTTATACGAGAAGAGTGTGCTAGAAGTGATTACCCACCTCCAAAGAGGCATTGACGTGATAAATGAGACCTAAGCTTAACTAGTACAAATGGATAGTGTAGGAACCATGTGTATGATTCTAAGATGTAAATTTGTTACATAGGCACGTGATATATGAAAGGCATGGCCTGGAGAGTAATGATAAATGTGTAGGTCTCTCACACGAGACAAAAAATAATGAAAGGAGAGTTAATTGAACCCACAATGAGAAGACCCTAGCACTATCAATGTTATAAAAATCCCAAGAATGTGCGAAGTTGTGTTACACTCCAAAAAGGATATTGACACGAGTGATTTGGATCCCATGCCTATGTGGCTGAATAAGAGTAGAGAACTTATGAGGTTAATGCCATGTGGACTTAAATCTCCCTAATAGTCAATCATATACAAGAGGACTAGAGATGTGAAATATTTGCTAGATTCAAGACTTGTGTCGAAATGTGAAACATTTACCCCATGTAAGGAGAGAAGGGTCATGGTGAAGCTACTGCAGTACAATAAAACGAGACTGGGGCCATGTAGATATGATGTTTGGATATTTTGGTGACATGTGTAGTCTAGAAAAGTGGTAAGGGATAACGTGATTCCCTTAAAGAAAATGCAAATGATAAACCACTAGTACAAAAATAATGTAGAGGGTTAAGGAATATAAATTCTTAGTACGTGACAATATACATGACAGGGTCAACGATACTAGAAACTAAGAGTAAGGTTTGCAAAAGGGTTTTATACTTGTTAGAAAGTCATGGACAATGGAACCCAAGGAAGTACTACAGATCAAATGTGAAAGGCTTGCGAGTTCTTAGAATGAGTTAATCACGGATTTGCGATTTAGCTAAAGTTCTAAGGCTTTAAGAAAGACAGAACGAGTGGGAGAGATAAATATGATATGATAATAACCCAAGAGTGCATCTGGACTTGATGGAGAGTCTCTTAAGAATCTTACAAGCAAAGAAGTGTTAAGTGATACACGGATGAACACACTTTCCCACGGATATCCCAATAAGTGTCGAGAGGCGAGCATGATGAATTCCCAACTAAGGGAAAAAAACCACGTAGCGTATGGAAGAGCGCATGGATATTCACTAACTAGGAAGAATGAGGAGAGAAAAATTGGAAGAAAATCTATAAATTGAGATAGTCATGGTTATCGCAAAATAGTTCGTATTAGAATGGTGGACTCACCTAGAGCACAAGTGTTAATAGAAGATATAAAGGATCAACGGTAATACAGCCGATTTGAGTGACGCTGAATATAAACTAAAAGATTAAGAGAGAGTTCATGTCTACATATTACATTGGAAAGTGAGACTACTAGTGATGAAGTGGTGGTGTGATAAACTCGACAAACCAGGCACAAAGATACTACGAGTTCATGAGAGGCAGATAAGTGTGTGGCACAATAAGGCTGTCAACTATGAATTAAGGGCAAAATGGGATGGGAATGAATGCTCCAGTCACAAAGGAAATATAGTACCTGCATATGTTCGAACCAGATTGAGAGAGGATGAACATTTGTTACGAACCAAACATGTTTAACATAATAACCCTTAGGCTGCAATACCAGGAAATACTATAGGTGACTACAATACTGGAAATAAGGTGAGTTACTCATCGAGGATGGAATCAGGTGGACTAAGTCCTACACTTATAAGGAAAACAAGAAGTCATCGTTGAAGCATTTAAGAGGATCTCAAGTTTCAGAAAAGGCCCTGTTCGGGCCAATGACTTTTGTTAAATTGAATACATATGAAGGGTGTTGATATGTGCTTTAGGAAGTATTTAGCAGTAAAGAGGGATTGTGAGAATATTCACACGGGAAGTAGAGTGGTTTCTTAAAACCCTATAAGACTTATAATGAGGAAAGAAGGTGACTAAGAAAGGGTTGTACTTCACATTTGAGGCAATGCCATACAAGTTGATGTTATCAGGGTATGCGTGCAAGCTAGTAGATGTTATTCATTTGAAATAGATGGTTCTATAAGAAAACTGACCTAGTAATGTCTTTTGTTGAGAAATTTGAAAAAACAAGTTGCAAGTACTAATAAGATTGTAACTGTATGAAGAATTTTTTTGTATAACTCAATTCATAAGAGGTCATATGAAAGAGAAATCTAATATAGATGTTCCACTAATAATGCAATATGGAAAGATGATCATTTATGCCTATAGGCAACTCAAGAATTATCGAACACTTGACTTAGAACTTACGGCGGTGGTTTTTGCATTAAAGATTTGGCGTTATTATTTGAATGGGGTCCATGTAGATGTATTAACGGACCACAAGAGACTTCAATATATTTTCAAACAAAAGGAATTGAATATGAAGCAGAGAAAATGGATTGAGTTACTCAAGGACTACGACATTGATATTCTATATTATCCAGGAAAGGCTAATGTGGTGGCAAATGCTCGTAGCAGGAAATTCATGGGTAGTTTAGTACACATGGAGGCATATCAAATGCCATTGGCCAAAGAAGTTCATCGATTTGCTAGTTTGGGAGTTCGTCTTGCGGACTCTCGTGAAAGAGGGGTGATTGTACAAAATAGGGCTGAATCATCGCTTGTTGTGGAAGTTAAGGAGAAACAATACAACGATCCATTGATATCACAACTAAAATATGGGATTCATAAATATAAGACCATGACTTTTCTCTTGGCATGGATGATGGTACACTAAGGTACCAAGGGCGTCTATGTGTTCCAAATGTGGATGGTCTATGTATTCCAAATGTACATGAAGTATATCTACAAGCAAAGCTCTTCAGAAGTCTTTTCATCATTGGGTTGAGGAAGAGAATCCGAGATTGAACTGCCAATTACATTGTTTTGAGACTGATTAAGGACTCGTTTGTCTATAAAAAAAATTCCTTTTTTTAATTTTTTTTTTAAAAATGTGTTAATCCATGAAATTTTGAATTTTTTTCGAAAATACGTCTTTTCAAAAAAATTATTTTTTCAGAATTGTTTTTGTCTCAACAAACAAAAAGCAATATGTTTTCAAGTGAAATATATGTCGAAACATAATTTAGAAATATATGTCGAAACATAATTTCAAATTTCAAATATTATTTTTCAACTTAACTTCAAATATTTTTTTTTTTTAAATTAAATTTTTTTATGTCCAAATGCCTGCTAAGTTTTGTTCGGGCTCCTTGGCAATATAAAACGTACTATAGCAAACTTTTGTCTTTTTTGCAAGCCTCTAGAACAAGTAGGCTCACACTAGGGGTGGCAAGTGGGCCGCGGTTCCGGTCCTTAAATAAACGGGCTTAGCGGTCCTGGGCTAAACGGTCTTTTTATAGGAATCGGCCCGGGACTAGGCCCATGAACTCATGGTCCCAGGCTAAACGGGTCGGTCCCACATGCTAAGTGGGCTAAGTGGACCCAACGACTAAGTTGTGATTTTTAAATAAATAAATAAATAAATAGAAATTAACAAAAAAATATTAAAAAAATATCTAAGGCAATGCCTTGTAAATTTATTATAGAATTGTGACCTAATTTTTTAATTCAAATTTAAAGACAAAAATACTGTAAAAAGATATTCAAAGTAATGTCTTGTAATTTTATTATAGCAATAAAAAATATGACAATATCTTTCTTAGTCTTCCCCCCCTATGGAATGAGCACAATAAGGTGCTAAACCACCATTGAGAAGAAAAAAGAACTAATCAAGATGTGCCAAAATACAAATTAAATCATACATACTAACTTTTATTCATACAAGTTACATGCTATCTCTTACAAACTTCATAAATTCTTCAAGGTTCGGAGGAATTTCCGTAGGTGGTGGCGGAAAAAGTTGAAACTAGGAAAAAAGTATAATTATAAAAAGTTTGGGGTTAAAACTAAGTTGGGGGGAGTTAAATGATTATTTTTTAAATAGCCAACGACTATTTTTTAAAGCCCAACAACTCTTTTTTAAATAGCCAAACGACTATTTTTTTTTAAAAAATATCCGTTGGGCCCGCCACGGTCCCGGTCCTAGGCAAGAACCGGCCCACGAGACCGACTCAAGCCCACCTCTAGCGGTCCTACCGGTCCCGACCCACTTAGCCCACTTAGCTCGCGGGCCCAGGCCGGTCCCGGACCGACCCACTTGCCACCCTTAGCTGACACTTATAACAAGTACACTATCTAATTTCCTAGCCAACTAGCGTCCCGATAACACATTTTAGATTACATGAATTTGATCTTAATTATTACTTTCTCCGGTCCACTTTAATTAATTTTTAATCTTTTTTTGTGATCTATAATATTCGATTTTTTTCAAATATCAAGAAGAAATTAACTTCTTTTTTTAAAAAGTTGTTCTTGGAATAAAGAGCCTAGAAATATTTGTTATATTTTTCAATGAACAAACTAAAATTAGTATGGTCAATTTCATCGTTAATTAATACTAAAAGGTGAATCCTTAATATGAGTGAAAATAGTCAAAAATCAAATAAAGTGGATTGGATGGAGTAGTGCATTTTGAAGAATAATTATCTATAAATTAGTGAAAATAATAAAAGTTAGTTATACAAACCTCCCTTCAAGTTTATCCTTCTGGTAAAATTTCCTCATTTTAATTTTTGACTTTCCTTTTTTACTTCAATTGGAACAAATAAGGACGAGTAAAAAAGAAAAAAGTACTCCCTCTCTCCTAGTTTTCCTAGTTTGTATGAACATATTTTTTTTTTGGTCCGTTAAAAAAAAAAGTTTCTTTTCTAAATTTAAAAATAATTTAATTTAAATTTTTAATTAATCTAAAAAAAATATTTTTTTATAACCACCCAAATATTCTAAACCTTTTTTTTTAAGTTTAATATCATAAATTTCAAAAGTCGTTAAATTTTTTTTTTTTTTTCTTAAACCAGTCAAACACGTTCAGACGAAAGAAAACAAAAGAGGAAAATGCTAAACCCTAGTAAAAACCCTTGGGAATGCGAGGATTGTATCTCCTGCGAGCTTGAGCTATACTGGAGGAAGTTGTCGGGCCAAAATGATCCGGAATTTGACCCGCCAGATTTCAAACGAAACACCAGTGAACCTCAGAAGACTATGTACGGCGGCAGAGGCAGCGGAGCTGCGTGGAGGAGATGGGCGGCTCTACCGTAGATTGTCGGCTTTGGGAGCAACAAAAGGGTCGGTGACTGAAACAATAAATGAGTACATGAGAGAAGGCAGAGTAGTGAAGAAGTATGAGCTGGAGAAATGCATAAAGGAGTTGCGTAAATATAAAAGATACCAACATGCCCTTGAGGTCTACACTCTGGAATCTCTTTATTATTACCTCAACCCACTTTTGAACTGCACCAGGTTTTACTAATGTGTTTTACAGGTTCAGTGTTTACCAAGAATTTTCTTAGTCTGGTCAGAGACTTGTATGTCAGTGTAACTGCTTTTTTATGACTGAAAAATTCGGCAAAACTTGGGGATAATGAGCCCGTCCTCTACCCTTCTCCACTTAAATACCAAGCTTAGTTTGCATGGTACAGAGCTCAAAGCTGTGATCTAAGTCACAAGTCCCTCGGCCTTCGCAACTGGATAAGCCCTACAGTCTTGTATTTCTGTGTACGGTAAATGTGAGATTCGGGGAAACTGTTTTAGAGAATCCTTAAATTGCATTAAAGGCCAAACTGTTTAGTAATAAAATGAAATTGGCTGGTAAAATGGAATAGATGTATTTATATAGTTGATCCAACTAATTTAAATGGTATTTGTCAGTCTGTGGAGTGTAGGGATAAGTGTGAGATATTGAGAATTCTTTTACAGAACTTTAAAGTGCTTTAATGGTCTAGTTATTTGTTATTAAATCAAATGAATCCAAATAGAGCAGAATGGATGTAGATGATTCATATATAGTCAACTCTAACTAATTCGGGATTGAGGTGTAGATGATTGATTGATATAGTTTGCGAATTGGAAACATTAAGTTTAGAATGACAATCTTTATGGTATGGGGAAAAGAGAGCGCTTGGTATGGACAATGGTAAGCTGTCAAAAATATGCAGGCCAAGCTTCATCTTTTCCAATTTGTAAGCGAAAAGGGATCTCAAATTGTCATTGTTGTGAAGTTCTTGATTGCTTTTATGAAATAAGAGTGTATTGGCTCATTATTTCTTCTCCATTCTTTTCCTTTTCGAAGAACAACCACACAGGGCATGCTTTCAGGCTGTACCAGTTCCTGTCTAAGATGTAAATATATCAAGTAGCAACAAGCTTATTATGAGACAAATTGTTTATTGGTATTGGAATGAATGCCCTGAATATAGTGGAATGTATATACAAGATTCTTATAGTTGACCCGAAATAGTTTGCGATAACTGACAAGGCATAGATGGTGGTTGTGTTATAACAAGCTAGTTAGATTTTTTAAAGTTGTGCTCTAGAGAGGAGATATTTTAGCTGCCACAATTGCATTATATTTTTCTGTCAACTGTTTGCCAGAAATATGTTTGTGCAGACATTGTTATGGTATGCCTTCCAGGTGGAGTATATCCACATCAAAGTGATTTTGAACATCATGAGCTGATATTTATGTATTGATGCAGATAATGGAATGGATGGAGAAAAGAGGTATAAACTTATCGTTTGGTGATTATGGAGTACGTTTGGATCTCATAGCAAAAGTTCAAGGAATAACTGCAGCTGAAAATTACTTTGGCGGCCTCTCACCTTCCATGCAGAATCAAAGCACTTATGGAGCACTCTTGAATTGCTACTGTGTTGAAAAAATGACAGACAAGGCGTTGTCCCTCTTTGAGAAAATGGATCAATTGAATTTCACATCTAAATCATTGGCATTCAACAATCTTATGTCCTTGTATATGAGACTAGGGCAACCAGAAAAAGTGCCCCCTTTGGTACAGGAAATGAAGAGCAGAAAGGTTCCACTATGCACATTTACATATAATATCTTGATGAATAGCTATTCTTGTTTAGGTGATATAGAAGGAGTGGAAAGAGTCTTTGAGGAGATAAAGCAGGAGAATGCAAAGGAGTGTGATTGGACCACATATAGTAACTTGGCTGTTGCCTATGTTAAGGCTGGGCTTCATGACAAAGCTGAGTTGGCTCTAAAGAAGCTTGAGGAAGAGATGGGACCTCGTAATCGTGAGGCATACCACTATTTGATTAGTTTGCATGCTGGAATATCTAATCTAGGTGGGGTTTATCGTATTTGGAATTCTCTGAAATCTCATTTCTCGATAACAACCAATTCTAGTTATCTTGTCATGCTTCAGTCCCTCGGTAAGCTTAATGACATAAATGGTTTAAAGAAATGCTACGAGGAATGGGAATCAAGCTGCTCCAGTTATGATATGAGGCTGGCAAATAGTGTAATTGGGGCTTATCTGAGACATGACATGTTACACGATGCGGAGGAAGTCTTCCATCATGCTTTGAAGAGATCACAAGGTCCTTTCTTCTTGGCGTGGGAAATGTTCATGGCATTCTTTTTGAGGAATCGTCAGATCAATCTTGCTATGAAGTGCATGGAAGCAGCTGCCTCTCGAGTAAAGAAGAACGAATGGCAGCCAAAATACGAAATGATCAATAAATTTCTCGAGTATTTTGTAGAAGAGAGAGATGTTGATGGTGCTGAGGAGTTCTACAAGTATTTGAAGAAGCTGAATTGTCTTAGCAGTGATGTCTATAGTTTATTGCTTCGCACTTACATAGTTGCCAACAGAACAGCAGAGGATATGCTACTGAGAATTAAGGAAGATGGGACTGAAATGAGCTGCGAGCTCGAAGACTTGCTTAAAAGGGTTTGTCCTGAATAAATAGAAGGATCTACCCATATGGTTTTGTTTCATTTCCATCCTCTGTTTGTGTAGGTATATACCTCTCTAACTTCAATGTACATAACTTCAATCCATTCTATATTTTCTCTCGGTCGCATCTCTACTGACTGATGCATTTCAAAGCATAGACCTTTTTAATACCAGGGCACATGCTAAATATTCTTCTCTACCTTATGCGAACACAATTGCGATTTGACTATCCTTGTTTTTTCTTTTAATCTGGGAAAGCTGTACTTCGTTGTTGAGTTTATCCATTTTTGCTTTATTTTTCTCTGTTTTGTTGCTTGTCTTGAGAACGAGAACTAGATTTCTCATAATACATTATAATAGAGAGATCCCAAATTTTGATATAATTATGGTTTACTATGGCTTGTTGCTGAAAAATAAATAAACTGCATAATTGAAAATTTGAACCGCCAATAGTTCCCGCTTGGCCATAAAATTTGGGAGCTTTTTTCAAATTTTGTTTTTTGTTTGTAGATTTTAACCATCTTGTAGTTTTTTATGTTTTGTACTCACAAAACTTCAAATTCTTTTTAAGTAAAATGCGTGTCTAAACACAATATCAACTTTCAAAAATTATTTTTTTATCTCATCTTTAATTTTTATTTTTTTTAAAATTTCAACCAAATCTATGTCCAAACGCAAGCTAAAAGATTTTATCATTCTTTTTCCGTCAAAGGGCCAAATATACCCCTGTACTATGAAAAAAAGTTTAAATATATCTTTTGTTATACTTTGGGTCCAAATATACCCCGACCATAATACTATTGGTTCAAATATACCCCTCTTCTTTTAAGTTTGTTCAAGGTGAACATCCAATCCTACGTGACACTGATATATGATAAGGTGGATGCCACATGGCATGCCACCTCAGTGCCCCTAATCCATATATAAAAGAAAAAAAATTGAAATACAATATTTTTTATGGTAGCCGTAATAATGGTGGAAAAAAATAGAAGAGGGGTAAAATGGGTTAGGGGCGCTGAGGTGGCAGGTCATGTGGCATCCACCTCATCAAATGTCAGTGCCACGTAGGATTGGATGTCCACTTTGGACAAACTTAACGGAAAATGGGTATATTTGAACCAATAGTATAACAACAGAGATATATTTGGACTCAAAGTATAACGATGTGTACATTTAAACCTTTACTAATAGTACATAGATATATTTGACCATTTTCTCATATTTTCCTGCAATACAATTGCCTAATCTCAAAACCCGTAATGAAGGGAAGCTTTACAATTATTAATTTGAGTACTTTTGGTGACAGTGTTAATGGAGCTGCTTCCACATTAATACAGAACTTTGATATGTTTAGAAGATGCCGTTGGTATAGCAATAAATTTAAGACGAAACTTAAATAATAGGGAAAGGTTTTGGGAAAACATAAAGAAATAATAGGGAAGGGTTTTGGAAAAACGGATAGGCAAGAATACTATATCATTGCAATTTTCAGGCTTAGGCATGTAAGTTGCGATGGTATCAAGTCCATCTTGAAATGCCTTGTGATATATCATGGGATCAGTAGCGTCTACCCTAAAATTGGGTAACAATTAAATTTGTATTCGATTTTAAGAATATGTGGTTTAATTCAACCCGAATAATTAAGAATATCAAATAAACGAATTAGAGATGAAATAAACGTTCAAACCAATTGCTATATTATAGCCAAGCCTAAGCTTAGGCTAACCAATGACCTCACCCTCGGTTGGACCCTCAGTTCAAGCCCAGTCGTGAATGAAGAACAGATCAAATGAGCAAAAACTTTAACAATAGCTAAAAAAATAGAAAATAAACTTGTATTGCTTTGATTTGCGAGTTACAATGTGTGTTATCAAAGAAAAACTTCCCCTTTATATAGTAGGAGAGTTTCATCCCTAGTACAAGTCTAAAAAAAGTAAAAATCTTTCTTTCCTGGTAATTACTGATCCATAATCGATATTGAGCGAGATTTGTGCCGTGATATCCGGTTGAGTGCGAGTATCACGACTCTCTATCTATCATGCGTAATCGTTCACTGTGTCTCTCGAGGTCTTAGATCTCATTCTTGGCCCGCGACGCGTCGCTTTGTCATACCCGATGACAGGCACATTGTTCACTCTTCCTGGATCTTGATATGAAGGGTCTCGTGCATCCGTGCTCTCCCTCCGTTTTCTCATCGGGAAATCGGGGTAGGAATTACCCCCGATTTTACCCGTACACAGATAGTCCCCTCGTTTTCCGAAGAATAGGTTTACCGAAACGATGGGAAGCGATAGGTGAACCCCAATTTCTTCTTTCGTACGTTACAACTGAGATGACGGGTCAATAAAACGTCCCATCAGTCGCGTCGTTCTGAATTCGGGCACGTGGCAGTCGCCGATTGACTGCCCTCGAATGCGAAATATCGCGCATTGATTGTTCTTCCTCTATAAAAGCTCCGATCCTTTTTCACTTCTTCCATTTTTATTCCAGAACTTAACCTCGAATTCCCTAATTCTTTTTAACTTCTCAAAATCTTCATACATTGCTCCTCAAACCTTCATTTCTTCATCTACAATCCTCATACATTCCCTTTGGATCTTTAACCTAGACCTTCATACCTTCATCCTATCTTCAGATATTCATATTCTTCCTTCAAACCTTCATATTTTCCAGATTACGATGGCAAAATCTTCCAAGTCAGTGCCTCAAAAAATTGCTCCTTCATCTTCCAACCCGGCCATAGATGCCGAGGTGGCTTAGGAGCCTCCCTTGACGAGCTTCGTACGTTGCTCTATCGGAAATGATTTCTACGTCGAGAGGGCCTCAAGTCAACAGGATCGAGGAAAGGGAGCATGGAGGTACATATGCTCTGTTATTGAGGAAACACTACCCACATTCCGGGCGGACTATAACTGGGAGGGTAAAGAGGTGGTCGTCCCCGGGCCTAATGACGACATCACTACTCACGTGGAGGAGTATTTAAGTGTTTGCACTTACCCCTTCACGCTCGCCCCGGTGGACCCCATAGTCCTTGCCTTCTGCAAAAGGTACGAGGTGTGCCTTGGAAAAATCCACCTGTCCTTTTGGATGATCGTAATTCTTCTACGATACTTTGTGAACAACACAGAAGCATTCGATTCACCCTCGACCATCTGCTTCGCCTATACAGTCCCCAAATCTTCCGAGGGGGGCTGATTAAGCTCGTTCGCTGAGCAAGAAAGGTTCCGTTTTCGAGCATCAATGAGGATCGAGACCAAGGTTGGTAGGGGAGGTTCGTTCGAGTGAAAACCGAAGACCTCATATCTGCCAAATTCTTGCCGTTCCTCGAGAAGTGGAACGCACCCCGTAAGTTTTTTCCTTCATGAGTATTTGTCATTTCCCTTTATTCTTTTTCTCATTGCTTGTGTTTGTCACCGTGCAACTGTTGCCAAGTTCCTAATGTAGTTCCTCGTTTCAAGAAGTGGATCGAGGGGATCTGCAAACAGATGCCCTACTTCGAACGCACATGGCACAAGCTTTTGAGGGGCAAATGGGAGGCCCGTTCCCATGGTGAGGGTCTTTCCCGAATAATTTCCTTCGTACTTTTAGCTTACAAATTGCTAAGTCTTCTTTTTTCTTACAGGTTTGCCTAAGACCACGGAACTCAGGCCGTTAGATGAGGAGAAGGATCCGTCCTCGCTTGTCGAACCCTCCACTTCGGTACAACCCGGGGACGCCGCAAAGGAGGAGAAAACGAATAAGAAAAGAAAGTCCTCGGGTTCCCCAAGTGCCGAGGCAAAAAAGAAGAAGGTGACCATCCGGGTACGGAAAACCAAAAAGAGCACCAAGTCCAGGGTACCGGACTCTGATTCCCTATACCGGCTCAGGGATTACCCCTAGGAGGATGACCATTTTATTGCTCATGGGTCGACCCTTAATGAGGGGGAGCATGTAGCAATCGGTAAAGATGACCATGAGGTAGATCCTCCTCTAGCTGGGGAACCAAAGGGCCGCGGCCTCTCGGGAAGCCGCTCTTGTCCCGAAGGAGGTAGTTGGTGTCATCAACATCGTGGAGATGCCGTCCTATACTTTGTCCATGCTCGAAGAGGCTCAAGTGGGCAAAGAGAAATCAAACGAGATGGCGCAGGGCCCAGGCGATGCCCTCAACACGTTCTTCGATGGCATGGATATGGTCGTACGTGGAGGACTTATCCGGGCTTGGTCACCTTGAGGTCCCGAAAAAGGATGTGCCATCGGGAACAGGCGAGCCGAGTTGAAGCCCAAAATTAGTGAAGCAATTTCCTGCTCCGAGTGTAGACTCCGAGCGCAAGAGAACGGTCGTTATTACAATCCCGGTGGATGCCTGAGTCCTGTCTGCTCAGGTGTGCATAGCCAACTACCTTCGATGCCTGGTGACCGAGGAGGACAGGCAAAGATGAATGAAGTGGGCACGTCGAGCCTCTTCAATGAGGCGCAACAGGCGCTAAACCGGGTAAGGCGTCTGCCCTTTGTACCGCTTTATGAATCTTACTTGGTTTTTAATGTGCTCTAATAACTTCATTATTTTTTCAGGCTTCAATTCTTCATCATGAAAGCTTCCTCCGATCCCGCTTGGAGATCATCCAGCTCGAGTTCGAGCTCAAAGAGCAAGTCCGAAAGAAGGACATGTATAAGGCTCTTAGTGAGCAGCAAGAAGAAGCCCTCGACCTTGAAGGGGGAACTTGCCGACCTGATTGAAAAGGTAAAGATCTCTGAGGCTAAAAGTAAGAAGCTAGTAGTGGTGACTAACAGCACAACTGCGCAGGTCCAAGAGAAGATAGACCTGATCGACAAGCTTCGGGCTGAGATGGATGAGGTCAAGGCCATGACCGAGGCATGGAAGGGCAGGATGGACCTGCTGGCTTCAGACAAAGAAGCTGCAAAAGTGAAGCTGGCATCGTTCGAGAACCAACTCCAGGTGTCAAAGGACAAAGCCGATAAGTGGTTTCAGCTAAATGATGGTCTTCGGGCACAACAGAGCTCGACCGTCGCGGAACAGGATCCCCTCGGACAAGAATATGTCGCACTGAGTTCCAAATTGGATGCAATCTCTTCTGACATCGAGGAAATATTGGCCCAGTACAAGGCTGATATGGTGGTAGCTGAGGCCCGCTTAAAGGCGAAGACCGAGTACCTAAAGCGGCTATCCCGGAGAGAGACCCTCGAGGAGATCCATGCGTG